TGAGCATCATCTTCGTCTAATTCTTCAAACACTTCGAGAAAAGAAACTGTATGCAAAGCTGAAGAAATGTGAATTTTGGCTACACGAGGTAGCATTCTTGGGGCATGTAATAACAAAGGAAGGAATCTTTGTGGATCCACACAAAATTGAGGCGATCGTGAATTGGCCAACTCCTACCAATGTGACTGAGGTGCGTAGTTTTATGGGATTAGCCGGATATTACAGGAGGTTTGTTCAAGATTTCTCCAAAATCGCTGTACCGCTTACACAATTGACTCAAAAGGGAGTAGCGTTTGAATGGTCAGAACAGCGGGAATCTGCCTTCCAGGAATTGAAAATGAAGTTAACTACAACTCCAGTCCCTGCCTTGCCATCTAGTACTGAAGGATTCGTGATCTACAGTGATGCTTCTCATAAAGGACTTGGTTGTGTGCTTATGCAAAACGGAAGGGTTATCGCTTATGCCTCTCGACAGGTTAAACCCCATGAGAAGAATTATCCCACGCATGACCTTAAGCTAGCCGCAGTAGTTTTTGCTTTGAAAATATGGCGGCATTATCTGTATGGCACTACTTGCGAAGTGTACACCGACCATAAGAGCCTCAAGTACCTTTTCACCCGGAAACAGTTGAATATGCGACAGCGATGGTGGTTAGAGCTTATTAAAGATTATGACTTGCAGATCCATTACCACCATAGTAAAGCTAATACAGTTGTAGACGCGCTTAGTCGAAAGAATACGGAGAATTTGGCACATTTGTCTACGGGGCAAAAGGAGTTGGTGATTGAATTGGATAAAATGAAGGTGGACCTTGTGATGCCTGGGCAGGAGACCATAGTAGCAGCAGTGATGGCCCAACCAAAACTACTTGAAGAGATCAAACTACGTTAGATGGAGGATGAAACTTTGAGGAAGATATGTGATGAGTTGGAAACAAAACTGAGACCGGGATTCAATTTGGTGAATTCAGTACTCAAATTCCAAGACAGATTGTGTGTTCCCAATGTGTTAGAAGTTAAACGAAAATTGATGGAAGAAGCACATGCCTCGAGAGTCTCAATACACCCTGGGAGTACTAAAATGTATCAAGACCTAAAGCAAAACTTTTGGTGGCCAAGTATGAAAAAGGAAATTGCGAATTTTGTCTCGAAATGTTTACAGTGTCAACAAGTAAAAGTAGAGCATCAGAGACCGGCAGGATTGCTGCAACCCCTTCCAATTCCGGAGTAGAAGTGGGAACATCTGACCATGGATGTTGTTGTAGGGTTACCACAAACTCCTCAGGGTATAAATTCTGTATGGGTCATTGTAGACCGGTTAACCAAGTCCGCCCATTTCCTACCTGTGAAGATTCAGTATAATGTAGATAAATTTGCTGTAATCTATGTGAATGAAATAGTGAGACTTCAAGGGATTCCAGTTTCAATAGTATCAGATAGAGATCCAAAGTTTGTATCTAGATTCTGGCAGAGTCTACAGGGAGCAATGGGTACAGAATTAAAGTTTAGCACCGCTTTCCACCCTCAGACAGACAGACAATCTGAGAGAACGATACAGACATTAGAAGATATGCTCCGAATGTGTATTTTGGATTTTCAGGAAAGTTGGAAAACTCACCTACCGTTGGTAGAGTTCACGTACAATAATAGTTACCATTCAAGTATTGGAATGGCACCTTATGAGGCTCTGTATGGGAGGCCATGTCGCTCCCCAGTGTGTTGGGCTGAAGTTGGAGATAAATCATTATTAGGGCTTGAAATTGTCCAGTTGACAACAGAAAAGATTAAAACTATTCGGGAAAGATTGAAAACTACTCAAAGCAGACAGAAGAGTTATGCGGATAACCGATGGAGGGATTTGGAATTTGAGGTAGGCGATCATGTTTTCGTGAAAGTAACTCCAATGAAAGGACACCCAAGATTCGGAAAGAAGGATAAGTTGACACCCCGATATGTTGGTCCATTCTAGATTCTGGAGAAAGTTGGTTATGTAGCTTACCGAGTTGCTCTTCCCCCAAGTATGAGTCAAGTGCATAATGTATTCCACATCTCTATGCTCCGAAGCTACCTTCCGGATCCGTCTCATATCATAGATTACCTCCAAATTGTGTTGAATGACAAGTTAACTTATGAAGAAAAACCAATTCGAATTCTGGACCGGCAAGTGAAACAGTTACGAAACAGAGAAATTTCGATGGTAAAAGTTGAGTGGCAAGAAAATACGGAACCAAACCTACATGGGAAAACGAAGAGGAAATGCAACACCAATATCTGCATCTGTTCTTATCTTGAGGTAAAACAAGTTTGAGGGACCAAACTTATTTAGGGGTGGAGAGTGTAATAACCTGACCCTCGTACATGTTTTTGGTATACCTTTAGTCCCTTATTCTGTGCATTTAAATGCTTACTGTGAAACTTTATGTGAAATTAAGTTTAATTAAGTGAATCCTATGATTATGGAGGCATATCTGTTTAATAGGAGAAAAATCTGTTACAAATAGAATGTTTGGATCAGAAATTGGAAGCCTTGGAGGCTTAATAATCTGAAATTGATTTTATATTTGAAGTCAGCATGATTTTTAGGTCTTAAAATGATTTTCTGTGAAATTTGGATTAGGAATGATTAAACTGATTGATTTTCGTCTTATTCACCTTCTATATATAAATATCAATGCCCTTTAACCATTTGACTTGGGAAATTCATTTCAAAATATCTCCTGAGAGAGAATGAGAGAGTTAGAGAAGAACAAAGAAGAGGGAGGTTCATCAAGGAGGAAGAGTAGGAAATTGAGGAGGCTTGTAGGGATTTAAGTTTAAGGTATGTGTTATCTACTCTTGTTAAGCTTCTCTTGATTAAAGAGTGAAAAATTCTCTACAATAATGAAGTTAGGGTTGTGCTTAAAGATCAACTCTGTGTGTGTGTGTGTGTGTGTGTGTGTGTTTCTTGCTTAATTGTGGTTGTCTTGGTGGTTTTAAACTTTGTAGAGAGAAGGTGCATCTTATTCCCTTGCGTTACATATTGAAACTCATCTAAATGTTTGGGTGATTATGTGTGTGTGTTTGGAAAAGTGAGTATAATTATGAATGTGAGGAATTGATTTGTGTATATGAATTTTAGAGTATTGAAGACCTAATTGAATTTGTGATCCATGATTAATGTGATATTACACCATTATGCTGTCTTAATTTCTCCATTTTTGGACCTTGAGATGTTGTAACTTTGAGGAATTTTGAGTTGAATTCGGACTGCACAAAACAGGGACCACGGCCACACGTGCGGAGGTCATGGCCGCACGTGCGGAGGTCATGGCCGCACGTGCGGACAAGAGGGAAAAAAATGGAATTTCATTCTGCTTTCTGCCGCTCGTGCGGGGGAGGAGTACCGCACGTGCGGCCCAGGCCAGAAAAATTCGCCTGCTCTGTTTTGCGTGCTTGATCATCTGATATTATTAAAATAATTTTTGATAATCTCAGAATGGTTGTAAATTCATTCGAACCGTAATGACTCAGAAAATGATTTAATAGAAAAAGGAACTAATGTGTGAATTATATATGTGTGTAGGACACACTCCGGGAGGAACCATTGCTCCGCCACAGCACTATGAGTAATAGTACCGTAGTTGTACATTTACTTATCGTTAATAATTATTATTATTAACGCTCTGTTATTCGCAAGATTGATTACGTTAACATTTACAAATGAATGGAAAATTTGTGTACATTTGTACAACTTTGGACTAGTCTGCTCTGATGATATCTGGGCCTATGGCCAATCTGTGAAATCTGTTAGGCCTATGGCCAATCTGTGAAATCTGTTAGGCCTAGGGCCGTTCTGTATATCTCTGGGCTTGAAGCCGTTCTGAATAAAATCTAGGCTTGTGGCCGTTCCGAAAATATTCACTGAAAATGCTCCCTGCACCTATATACGCTATAATTCAAGTTTATTTTACGCTTTGTTTAAGTATTATTATTCCCTGAGCTTCGCTCACTCTGTGTTATGTCTGTTCTGTAGGTGCTCAGTCTGGAGGTCGGTCCTAGTCTTACCTGGATCACTTGACTTTTGCTATTACACCTCGACCAAACCCTTAGACGAAGCTCATTCATTTTTGTGGAGTCCTTGCAGAGCCTTTGCCTTGATGCACTTATCTTTCATTTAAGGTTGTAAAGCATAATTAACTTCTCTTAACTTAGTCTTGTTGCATCCCCAGGCTCAGGGATGGGTCAGTATCTTTGTATATATGTACGTAACTATATGTGGGTTGTTATGTGACAATTTACCTGATATGACGTGTTTGATCCTGGCATGTTAGTATTAGCTCAATGGATGTTGACTTATGTTGTTAAATGCTTCCGTTCAGGCCCCATATGTTATACATATTGAAGTTGACGTCCGTTTCTGAAGTGATCATACCCAAACTTTTAAGGGCAGGTTTGGGATGTGACATTACATGAAATATTTCTAATAAATAATTTTTTTCTGTCCTAAATATATGATGTGGGAAATTTATTTATAAATTCTATTTAGAGTTGTGTCCCACCTAACCCTTTTTAACAATCAATAACATATAATAATTAAAAAATTAAGACACTATTTGGCATCTCCTACAAAAGAGTACCTTTTTATCTTTATATCTTTTTTGAGTAACATATCTCTTTACTTTTTTATACATCTTTTCGGAAAAAGTCTAAAAATATATTTATTTAAATCATCTCTAATACCCTCTAAATACAAAAGATAGTAAAAATATTTTAGTGAAAATGCAGTCCTAACCATAACCAATTCTTAAAAAATTAGAATTTATCATGTCACATAAAAATTCTCATATTCATATTCCGGTAATATAATAGCATGCTTACCCTCAAAAATAAATATATCCAATTGTTAGACGGTCAAATGGTGTGATACACATTGTGAAGGCCTTTCACACCATGAAAAAATAAACTGACCTACTATATAAACCCTCGAGGAGCACATGAAACACTACTCCAACAAAATCAAAACAGCCAAAACAAAGCTTTTTACAAATGGCCAAACCAGTGAACTGCCTTGTCCTTCCACTCTTAGCTGCTTTGGTGGTTGTTCTGCTACCATCATCTTCCAAAGCTCAACCACCACCACCACCAAAGTCACCACTTGAGGTTCTTCTCCGATGGAAACAAAGTCTAGCCAACCAATCGATCCTCAGCTCATGGGTCAACCATGCACATGACATTAAGAACTCTTCTACACCGTCTTCAACAAGTAGCCCGTGCAATAATTGGCTTGGAATAACATGCAACAAAGCAGGAAATGTAACTGGAATAGATCTTCCACACAAAGGCCTACAAGGTACCCTTGAACTTTTAGATTTCACTTATTTTCCAGACCTCCTTCATCTTGATCTCAAACTAAACCGACTGACTGGTACCATACCTCCTAACATAGGTGTACCGTCAAAACTTGAATTTCTTGATCTCTCTACCAATTCTTTTACTGGTTCTCTTCCTCTTTCGCTTGCAAATCTTACTAAGGTTATCGAGCTTGATCTCTCCCGAAATAGTATAACCGGTGAACTTGACCCGCGGTTATTCCCAAACGGGTCAAGTCCGGGTACAACTGGCCTTGTTAATCTCCAAAGGCTACTTCTTCAAGATACTATGCTTGGTGGGCAACTTCCATCACAGTTAGGGAATTTGAAGCATTTGACTATTCTAGCTCTAGATAACAACAATTTTTCCGGTCAAATTCCAACATCTTTGGGTAACTTGATCAACATATCTTACTTGCGCCTCAACCAAAACCAATTTTTCGGCCAAATTCCCAGAAATTTTGGCAACTTGAGCAAGTTAACTAATCTGAACCTGTTTGCTAACCAGTTATCTGGTTCAGTACCAAAAGAAATAGGAAATCTTTCATCACTTGAAACTCTTCATTTTACACAGAACAAATTCACTGGCCACTTGCCTCAGCAAGTTTGTCGAGGTCACAAGCTTGTGAACTTCACAGCAGCCCACAATTTTTTCACCGGTCCTATCCCAGTAAGCCTCAAAAACTGTACAACCTTATTTAGAGTCCGGCTTGAATATAACCAACTAACCGGTGATCTAGACCATGATTTTGGAGTGTACCCAAATCTCAATTACATTGATTTGAGCCACAACCAACTGCAAGGGAAACTCTCATCCGAATGGGCACAATGTCAGAATGTGACACTGTTGAAAATTGCCGGGAATATGATTGGAGGTGAAATCCCAGATACAATTGTTGAATTAGACCAACTAGTTGTGCTTGATCTTTCCTCTAATAAACTTTCTGGGAAAATACCCGCACAAGTGGGAAAATTGTCTAAATTGTCCTCCTTAAGCCTGAAAGATAACAAAATTATGGGTCAAATACCTTCCGGAATTGGAGGACTAACCGATCTTACATATCTTGACCTCTCAATCAACAGGCTAACTGGTTCAATTCCAGATCGAATAGGGGACTGCATACGATTGCTGTTTTTGAGTTTGAGCACGAATGGTTTAAATGGTAGCATCCCATTGGAGATTGGATATCTTCTAGGATTACAAACTTTGCTTGATCTGAGTTACAACTCACTTTCTGGACAGATAACACCTCAACTTGGGAAGCTTACAAAGCTAGAAACTTTGAACCTGTCCCACAACATTTTCTCTGGTTCCATACCCAATGCCTTAGGTGAAATGATCAGCCTTTCAACTGTTGACTTCTCTTTCAATGATCTTGTGGGTCCTCTTCCTAATGGAAAGGCCTTTAAATTGTCCGCTCCACAGGCCTTTGCCAATAACAAAAATTTATGTGGTGAAGTCCAAGGTTTGAGGCCATGTAACACCTCATTTCCCAAAAGTGGTAGGCAAAAAACCAGACACTCTCATCAGATCATTATCATAGTCACCTCTGTTTTGGGTTCATTGTTTTTGATGCTTTTGGTTTTGGGGATTACTACACTTTACAGGCAAGGAAACCGGAGGAATCTGAAAGAAGATGAATCCCCTCTAAAGCCAGAAAATATATTTTCAGTCTGGAATTTTGATGGGAAAATTTTGTATGAAGACATAATCACTGCAACAGAAGATTTCAACGATGCATTCTGCATTGGAGTTGGAGGAACAGCGAGAGTTTACAAAGCGGAGTTACCAAGTGGCCAATTAGTTGCAGTGAAAAGGCTGAGCTCGGCAAAGGAAAGCATGGAAGTAGAAGACGTGGGTAGTTTTGCAAATGAAATCGCAACACTAGCAGAAATAAGGCATCGGAACATTGTGAAGCTCTATGGATTTTGTTGCCATGAAAGACACACATTTTTGGTTTGTGAGCTCGTGGAAAGGGGAAGCTTGGAAAGTGTGCTAAGCAGTGAAAAAGAAGCAAAAGAGTTGGATTGGAGTAAGAGAATGAAAGTTGTTGAAGGGGTTGCTCATGCTTTGTCTTACCTGCATCATAATTGTGTGCCTCCGATAATTCACAGAGACATATCGAGCAAGAATGTTTTGTTGACTGCAGAATTGGAGGCTAAAGTCTCTGATTTTGGCATTGCAAGGTTTTTGAAGCCTGCTTCTTCAAATTGGACCACAGTTGCAGGCACATACGGATACATTGCTCCAGGTGACTTCAACATATTCCACATATTTTTGTAATTAAACAAAATAGTCATTTCATATGAAGAGTTAAATGGAAATTTGACTCTCCCTCTCTCTCTCTCTTGCATATTTTCTATAATTATCAACTAATCATCTCACTTACACGTCACTGGGACTAAAAATTAGATTTAAAAAATACTTTTATATCATTTTCCTAATGGGAAATGTTACAAGTAAGATATGGTAACTCACTTTTGCTAAGTAGTTGGGAGACAAGAGGTGATTCACTTAGCGTGAGTTGACGCTATAGGCGACGCTATATGATGCTCCCGGTACTCGAGACTATTTAATAATTTTTTGAGACTCATACCTTTATTCATTTACTGGTAAAATAGAAAATAAGAAATTCATTTATGTATAGTATTTTCCTTTAAATATTTATTTGGAAATATTATCGTCAAAATAAATTTAATATATATATGGGTAAATTACGGTTACCATCCTTATAATTTACATAAAATCCCACTTCAGTCCATTTACTTTATTTTTTTGGTACATTAGAGGTTATAATTTGGAGAAGGCAGAGTCTTGCTTAACAAAACTCAAACACCTGCCCTGCTAGTAAGGTGGTAAGGTGCAAGGGTTCTAACCAATTGTGCTACTCTCAATTGGTTCTCTTTCCTTTTGATTGTGACGGTTTATTCATAAACTTTCAATATGTACGGGTTCATAAACCTAAGAGGGAAACTTATATTCATTAATAGTTAAAGAAGTGTTGATGTAATTAACCCACATAAAAAGGTATGAATTAAAAATTCAGAAACGCTTTTTGAAAATTCAAAAATGAAAATGAAGTACTAGTTCTTTACAATTGTGAATGAGAACTCATAACTTTTATTTATTTATTTATTTTTTTTCTTTTTGTGGGGGGGGGTCGCAGAATTATCATATACAATGGCAATGACAGAAAAATGCGATGTGTATAGCTTTGGAGTATTGGCACTAGAAGTTTTGATGGGATCGCATCCGGGAACTCTCATTTCAAATCTAACCTCACTGGTGGATCAAGGAATACAACTTAAAGATGTGTTAGATCCTCGTCTTTCGCCTCCTACAACTCAAAAGATTGCAGACGAGCTAACATCTATTGTAAACCTAGCACTATGGTGCTTACGTGCTGATCCTAAATCTCGGCCTACCATGCATGTTGCATCTGAGTTGCTCGAAATGCATGCTGGTGATGACTAGATTTCTCTGTGTTCTCGCACATGCATATACAGGAAGTACATACTTGTATATAGGTTGAATATCCTGTTAGTTTCTAAAATATACGCTCTGTTTCATTTTGAATAGAATATCAACACCATTTTAATCCAATTTTTGTTCGAAATTGAACAAAAATACCCTGTCCATTATAAAATTTGGACTGTTACAAAATTTCTTTTAACAATTATTTTTGTTTCACTGATTCGCAGATAAAATCTTTTTTTGAATTCATAAGGATTGTTTTCTGAAAACCCAGTGTGATATAAACTTTTTTATTTTTTATTTTTTTATGTGTTTAATTTATTGAATGCATAAAATATAAACTTTTTTGGCAAAAGTATATGCTTACATGAATAAAAAAAAAAATTTATTGAAATACAAAAATATTTTTAAAAAATTGTTTTTGGTGACAATTTAATTTTGTCATCGATGGGGTTCACTATGGACAGGCTTGGCAATAAATTACTAAAATTTGCTCAAAACATACAAACTTTTAGCAACCAAATACTTTTGTAAGCAAAACATTGGGGTGGGATCCAATGGTCTAGTAGCTATACCTTAGGGTACAGTGAGTGGGAGGTTAAGAGTTCAAGTTGACGGAGCAACTGTGACCTTTCAGTTATACTAACATACTAATGCTATCTCAAGAAAGGAGAAGAAGAAGAAGAAAAAGAAAAAAAAAAATTCTTCTGCAGCAATTTATTTTCTAAAAAGGCTTTGTCAACAGAGGCTTTACAAAAATAATCTTCTCTTATATTGACGAGATTTTGTCGCTAGCTGAGCATTGCTAGACACCAACATTAATCTAGCTGAGAGTCCCTGAGCATTGCTAGACACCAACAAAATTACCATAAAAATAAGGGTAAACTATCAATAGGTTTTAATAATTTGACTTAATTCTTATCAAGTTTTATTGATAATAAGTCCTAATAAAACCAGAGCTAAAGATAATTTTGTGATATTTTTTGCATATAGCTAAAAATTGACAATTAGTTACTTTATTTGTCACGGTTTTTATAAATTATCTCTATAACTTACAATTAGTGACTTTTTTGTGACAAATTTTTTAAACTGTCGTTAAAAGTTAAAAATTAGTGACGATTTCTTTAAACTGTCGCAAAAACGTAAAATTAGTAACATTTTTTATAACAATTTTTAAACTGTTACTGGAAATTAACAATTTGTGACTTTTTTTAATAGTGTTTGATAAAAAAATACTATTAATTATTATAAGATATATTAAACAATAAATCTACCTATTAAAACTTACATGTAAATCCCCTAAAAATAATGTGAGTGGTGTGTAGTTTTTTCCATAATTTTGTTGATACTCAAAGCATTTCACGACTTGCTTTGGTTACTTTTGGCAATGACTTTTGTCATTGCTTATGATCACTTTCCTTTGGTATACATAAAGTTCGAGCTGAAAAATAATTTGTTCATATATTTTTTTTAGTAGTGTGTAAACAATATATAAAATATGATTAGCCTAAAAATATAAAATTGTGGTGACATATTTTGTGAATAACAGCACGTGCCAAAGGTGACGCCGAACTATCAGCCGAGGTGCCACATGGCCTGGTCATGCGCCGAGGTGATCTCGGCTAAGTTGAGGTTATCTGCAGAGATACCAGGATCCGAGATGAGCGGATAAGGAACAAGAGTCCTAGAATAGGGGAGGATCTTAGTCTGGATAAATATAAAGCTCTTAGGGAGTTTATCCCAATCTAGCTGAGAGTCCAAGACGAGCATTGAGCCTGAGTCCATTGAAATTAAACCTCTATAGGGATTAGGTCAGTGCTAGCTATAAAAACAGGGCACCCTCATGGGTCTGAGGTATGTGTGATATACTGTAAGCAGTAAGTTCTTTCTTGTGAGTTAAGCCCAATTGGCTATCTTTGAGAGATAATTACTAAATCGTCGGAGTGCCCTCGAGTGAATGAACCACCGCCAGATTCTTATCTTTTTGTGATAGGTTGTTCAGGCTTAATCTATTCTACCGGTGCTCTCCTACTAAGTTTCTATATTTGGTTGTGTGGTCAAAAATCAACACCACAATTTGGCGCCATCTGTGGGAAAGTAAGGAGAATAGATGGCCAACGACGAGCAGAAAGAAAAGATCGGGGACGACATCCTTAGTGGGAGTGGTAAGCATACCAACCTAAACATGGAGGAAGAAAACCATAACGAAGGATCATGGGATCAGAATCCCAGGGAGAAGGACGTCGGCCAAGAGACAGACGCACAGAAGAAAAGGCAGACGCACCGAAGAAATTAGGTCGAGACGAGTATTACAACGAAAGCGACCTCCAGGTATGGAAAGATAGATGCCTAAGGAGGGACGGCGAGATGAAGGGAATGGAAAACAAGTTAGCAGACCTGCAATCGATTGTCAACTTCATGCTGCAAAACAATGTCATGCAGCCACCATTTCCATTGAGGGACACGCCGATTCCAGCAGCCAAGAACGACGGCCAGAAAGGGGGCAGAAAGTAATCCCAGTAGTCCCTCAGCAAGACAAGGTGAAGGAACGTTCACATCGGCCTTCATGGGATGCCGGGTAAGCAAAATCAATGAGAGGAGATTCTCAAAGGACGCCTCGTACAAAGGGAACTTATGTTAAAGAACATTGGCACATTCAGGGGAAGAAACTTTGTTTTGCCATGGTGAATGAAGAGAAGTCAAAGAGGATGCATAACGAGACTGGGAGCAGCGTACCAAAGAGATTGAAGTTTGTTGACAACCGAGCTCCCAGTTGGAATAAGGAGGATTTGAGGGACTACCTCTAGAGGAAGCCAGAACGCCGAGGTCACCTCACTCTTCAAGCCGAGAACACCATTCTCAATAGAGTTGGATAAGTTTGAGACCCCAAAAAGGTTCCATATGCCGAGGTTTCAGATATATGATGGTAAGTCAGATCCGAACTTTTACGTCGGCTTATACCTGAATTCAATGGCCTTATATATCGGTAAGTCAGATCCGAACGTTCACATCGGCCGACGTTGCTGTGCAAGGTGTTCCCCTCATCCTTTGGGGAAATTGCATCGGATTGGTTTCACAAGTTGCCAAAAGGAATTGTGAAGAGTTGGGAGGGCCTGGTCTAGATATTCGTGGCCAGGTTTGTCACAAACAAGTTGCAACCATTAAGGGTAGACTTCCTGATGGCTTTGAAAATAGGCAAATGTGAGAGTCTTAAGGCTTATGCCAAAAGGTATTATGAGGTGTTCAACTGAATACTCGAATGCAACCAGGAGTTGGTGGTCATGTCTTTTAAGAACGACTTGGAGGATGACTACATGCTTCGAAAGTCACTAGTAAAGACTCTACCAAAGAGTATGGAGGAGCTCATGGCAATGATTGAGAAATATGCCAAAGCAGAAGAGGATACACCAGGAGCAAAGGCACCGAAGTAAGAAAAGAGAAATGGCTTGCCGAAGTGAGGCCGAGGTAATACTGGATTTAATAGACAAGAAATAGGACTAAGGGCTGCACAAGCAGTCACCACTGTGTTTCGGATCCCGGTTTATAAAGTACTAGAAAGGATCAGGAACCAGCCATACTATAGAGTGCCGGAGAGGATCCTTGGCGAATTTATGGGAAGAAGCCTAGGGAAGCACTTCGCTTGCCACAATGAAGATAGACACCGAACTTAAGGTTGCAGAGCCCTAAAGGCATATTTCGAAAATCTGGTCAGGCAAGGTCACTTGAGGGGGCTAGTAGATGAGGCCAGAACAAGAGAAGAACATGCGAGGCTGCCCCAGGCACAGGCAACACCACCTCCACCAGCACCACAACAGTAAGCAGACGGACCTCGAGTGATCAATGTGATTCACTCGAGGGCCAATGACAATGAGGTGCGTAGGGAGACTCAAAGGGTAAAGCACTTACAACATATGTATCAGGTCCAGCAAAAGAGGCCTAGGATAGATGAGTGCCTGGGACCAATGGTATCCTTTATTGAAGCAGACCTAGACATGATGCAACATCCGCACAACGATACTCTGGTAGTAACCCTCAAAATTGGAGAATGCCAGGTAAGGCACATTTTGATTGACCAAAGCAGCTCATGTGACATCATGTATGTCAGATGTTACAAGGACCTCGGCCTTCACCAAGATGATTTGGAGCAATCCAACAGTCCACTGGTCGGGTTCAATGGAACGCCGACATAGCCCCTGGAAGCAATGAATTTGGAGGTACAGGCAGGCACCAAGAGGGTAAGTTGAGAGTTCACAGTAATTGACACCCCCTCCCCTTACAATGTTATCCTGGGGAAGCCATGGTTGCACGCAATAAGGGTTGTTCCTTCAACACTGCACCAGCTGTTACGGTTTCCAACAAAGCATGGAATTGAGGAAGTCAGAGGGGATCATGTATAGGCAAAGAATTGCTCCATGGCAGCAATGAAATCCTCCTACAATGTGCGAGAGGCAGAAACAGTAGAAATTGAGGACGAGGACATGGAGGTCTTGGATGATGTCGACAAAAAGCCGGCCGACAAAAGTGAGGAAGCCTTAAAGAAAATTCTGGTCCAACAAGGTTATGAAGAACACTTCTTCTTTCTCGGCTCAGGACTGACCGAGGAGGAGGAAAGAGAGTTAGAGTCATTCTTGTGAGTAAACATAGAGGTGTTTTCCTGGATGCCATACGAGATGTCTGGCATTGATCCCGAGATCACTTGCCATATACTAAATGTGAACAGGTCGGCTAAGCCTGTCATTCAGCAAGCAAGGAGGCCGAAGTTGGTTCATGTAGAGGAGGAAGTGGACAAATTGTTGGAGGCCAGAGCCATTCGGGAGGTAAACTACCCAACTTAGTTGTCAAACATAGTTGTTGTGAAAAAGAAGAATAGGAAGTGGAGGATCTGTGTGGACTTCACCAGCCTAAATAAAGTTTGTCCCAAAGACAGTTTTCCACTCCCCAAGATTGATCAATTAGTAGATGCCATTTTAGTGCATAGAAGGATGAGCTTCCTGGACACTTACAGAGGATACCATTAGATAGCAATGTATCCCCTCGATAAGGAGAAAACTGCATTTATCACCCCAAAAGTGCTGTATTGCTATAGAGTGATGCCTTTTGGGTTGAAAAATG